GTAGTATATTACGTTACGTTACTTATTATATAGTACTATATATATATATATATATATATATATATATATATACATACATATATATATATACATATACACATACATATATATATATATAGAAAAGGATGGTTTATCAATAAAAATGAATACGCACTGTTAATTGTCACTAACCAGTCGTTCTAACCAATCGCTCTATGCCTGCATTGCTCGAATTCAAAATTGGATTTTGCGCTCACAGACGTGTTTGTACCTGGTTTTGTTTGAGTGACATAATCTTCAAGTCTATATAAACCCACTACACTATCGTCATACAGATATTACAAAATGCATATGCGAATGAAATTCGACTTGATACTTCAATCATGGTAAATATAGTGTATCTTGTGCATCAATACACATTGTTATAGCTCATACGATACGGCCTTTTTCTATACTAAAAGATTTAGAATTACATTGTATCAGAAGCACATAAGGCTTATAACCACCAAATACATTGAGGATCAACAGTAATCTCTCCACGTCTTCAAAATGCTCATCGACAATACCTCTGTATAGTTGAGTTGAGACAGTTGCGCAATTATTCGCTTGTGCCGTATAGCTTGCTAATTGGTTGGGATTAGAAGCAGTTGTGAGAACAAGCGGATACGTGACCATAAGGCATAAGGCGCGACACAAGCTTATAACCAAGGCTATGAACGCCCAAATCTCTGAACTGATGCTGAATGGGTGATTGCTGATACATACTTGTCGTTGACTGTGGCTCTGTGTAGTGTCTGTGTGACTGTGTTGCACCACTCACAGACAATCACGACACGAAGAGGTGATGACAATGCGACAACGCAGACAGTCTGACACTGTATGTTGACATCTGCCACAAACTTGTGCACTGTCACAGTCACAGACACAGTGACACGGTGACAGCCACGGAGTCAGTGGCCCAAAGCCCACAGCCACAGGGGTCACAGAAACCAGGTCGTTCAAACTGTTTTTCAACCTAAAAATTCCCAAAACTTATGAAAGAAGGCTTTTAGCAGATCACGATAATGCCAAAACCGCGATGAGTTTCCAATAAAGACATTTTGGACATATGGTGGCCCTAGGCTTGCACTCCTGTATGTAGAGGTAAAATGGATTTTAGTGCGGCCCAAATGTTTACACTAGAGGTCATGACCCTCTACTAGAGAAAGGAAAAATTGCCACAACGGATTATTACGTCCGTAGGACGTAGAATGTACTTTTGGGGCACTAGTATCGTTAGCATACACTGGATGGAAAATTTATAACTTTAAATTAGACATTGGGTGATTGGAATCCAACGGTCTTGGACCGAAAGGTCAAAACCGTCGAGTATTTAGGTTTTCACCGATGAGATCGGGTGATATAGCCAATATAACGCTTCAAAAGTCCCGGATTACGAAACGAAATTTGGCTTGTATATTTTTCTAAGGTCTGCATCAAAAACTAAAAAATGTATCCGAATAATATCTATCTATTTATAGAGGTTGCGTAGAGCCCAGAACTGCTCTCAAAATCGATTTTGGGTGAATAGAAAACAAGGTGTGACTCCCGGACCCTGACCCCAGTACCAGCATGTGGTCCCCGGAGGGAAGAACCTGGTTCTTCTGTGCACCAAACTACCTAATATACAATAGATATAATTTTGGTTTTAGATGGCAATATTTTTAAAATGAAAAACAAAGTCTTCCAAGTAAGTCAGGACTAAGGTCTCAAAAGGAGACCCACCCGATGACCCGAATTGTATAAATTACGTATTGTTTTGTTTACAAAACAAATACTACCATATATGGTTATTTACTCAGATTCATTTACATAGCTAAACTCTCGGGACTGGATTTATTTGAAAATTTTAGTCTCACTCTTTTTTTAGCTCTTTTTTAATACTAAAAAAGGAACCAAAAACAAACAAAAAGAATTCACGTACAAATAGACAGAGACTTGTGTCTTGCGGCTGTCTCTTGAGTCATCCGTCATCACGCATCAGTGTCTTGCGCTCGAGACTACGAGACTCGAGAGTCGGACTGAAGAGTTGAGAGTTGAGAGTTGAGACCCTTGCTCAATCCAGAGGGCCACTAAAAAAAGCATAAATGCTGCACTTTGTTTTTCAAATGTTAATTATAAAAACAAAATACAAACTCTCTCAGTCTCTCTCTCTCTCTATGTACTATTTATGATGTAGAGCGAGAGAGAGAATGTAGTGAGTCCGAGAGAGGGGTCGACAAATAAAATAGAGGGTCATGATTCATGAACAATAGAACTATGAAGTCATGAACTCATGAACCCATTCACGAATTCACGATTTATAAAGTATAAACATTGAGCGTAAAAAATCGATATTATTTATTATATTTTTTTTAAATAAGTATGTATACAACTATACGTATATAAAGGATAAAAGTCGACTATTTATGACGCAGTGTCTCACTGTCTCTTTGAGTCTTTCACACCAAAAGAAGAGAGAGAGAATCAGAGGGACTACTGCCCATATTATACTCATATACCGTCTATTACTCACTAAGCTCATTACGTTTTGAAGATACCGAATAGAAGTATAACGTAAACGCATATATTTTTTTAATTTTAAACGTTTTAAGTTCTTTATATAGGGCTGGTTCATATGGTGAAAACGGTAGACACTTAAATAATTAGACATGCAAAGTGCACCTATGAATATACAAAGGTCCGCATATGGATTAAAAATTGAACGTAAACGTATATTTATTTGATTTATAAAGGTTTTAACGGAAATTGGTTTGAGGTTAGCTCTTGCATAACCTCCTAAAAAGACAACTTTTGCTCAAAGCAAGAGGCTGAAGGCTGAAGCATGCTCTGACCAACAAGTAAATAATGAATATTAAATATAGTAACTTAGTTGTAAAGAGTAGGAGTGCGGTACCTGACTATCTTCACTCTTTGAGAGAGTACTACTAGTACTACTAGTAGTAAGTAGAGACTAGTAGAAGACTGTGATAGAGAGCGATTGGCGAGCAATAAGCAATCAACTAGCTGTGAGCCTATGCGCTAGCTGCGAGCCTATGCGCTAGCTCCTATACCTGTATAGCCCCTGCCCAATGGGATAAGCCATAGTAAACTCATATTTGTTTTTAAAAATAGAACTAGTGAGAAGTCAACACTCAGGACTCAGGAGACCAGGGGTTCCTAAAAACTATTGGTATAAATTCGAGTTCCAAGGTCCAACTACCCAACCACTCTAAACGTTCAACCGTGCAACAGCTTCACCAAGAAGTAGTAATATATTGGCCCATGGGCCACGACTGTGAGTCTATGACTGATAACAGCAAGGGCGCGTGTGATTGAAATTTAGAACTCGGTGTCCAGGAGTCCGAAGGTTGGACTCCTGTGGGGAAGCTGGATTTTAGAATCGTTTCCAATTTCCTAATCCTACTCTCTGAATCTTGAGACTTGAAAGTTGAAATTTGAAATTCTGTCTCTCTACAGACCAAAACTTTCACAAGTTTCCGTTGTGGAATACTCTCTGTCTCTCTCTTCTCTCACGCGTGTGTGTTTTAAAGTTCAACTGTGTAGTTATCCCTGGTTGTTGTTGTTTTTTTTGTGTATGTGAATGTGTGTCGACTGTCAAGTTTCGACTGTCGATAAGAGGGGAGCCCACAGCCTGCCCCACGCCCCACATCCTCCCGCCTAACAGTTCCCTTGGCCCTACTAGCCCCTGCAGTTTGGGCCCTGGCCCCTGGGCCCTAGGCCCGGGTCTCCACTACTCTACTACTAGTAAATAGTAGCAGAGAGAGAGAGAGTAGAGAGAGAGCAGACTTCTAGTTCTCAGGGACTCTCTCTCTACACTGTCTACACTCCGCATGTAGAGTGCAGTAAGGGCTGACGCTGTTATCTGTAGCCTGTGAGGCTTTGGGCCGTGGCCCGTGGGCCATAGACCGTGAGATGTCAGATGTGGTCTGTGACTATGGGTCCGCTGTCCGTATCTCGCAATCTTTCACGAGCAGCCTGATCAGTGATCACAGTGATCAGGAACTTAAGTGGTCACGAGGTCTATAGTATACACTCCAGTGACCAGTCACTCCACACAGTTGTTGGACCTCTCTAGTAGAGTGTATCAATCCCCAGAGCCGTTTGTATGTCTGACACACCTCTGACAGTTCAGACTCCAGAGTCACGAGAGTTTATTGGTGGACCAATAATCCTGAATATTAATATCTTACACCCTTTGAAACTTATGCACAACTATGAAGTCCAAGAGAGGGAAATATTGTTTTCTTTAAAAAACAAATATATATATATATATATATATTATATATATTATATATATATATATATATATATATATATATATACATATATATCAATACATATATGTATAGGCCCACGGTCCTACACTTACAAGTTACAGTTACAGACCCACATTCAAAAATCAGTGAAATCACTGCTACAGTACTATGTAAATAGAAGAAATTTATTTTCTAAAAAGTCGCTGGTCCTTGTCTTTTTCAAAAACAAAAACATTTACACGGGCACGTTCTTGGGCTAGTTGGATGCCTAGAATTCTGGATCTACTCATTTTACAGTCCAATTTTTGGAGGAACTCTGTTGCCGTGTTGCGTCACTGCGATCTGCATAATGTTTTTTAAAAGTGAATGTGCATTTTCTAAATATTTTGTTGTTTTTTTAAATGTATATTTTGTACATAAATATTTATTTTACTAAAAAATACTTTTGTGTCTCTTTGTATTTACATATTTTTTTATTTCTTTATCCAGTTTGCATTAATATATACAAAAATAAATACCAGTTTGTGTGTGTGGACTGTGGAATCTTTGTAGTTTGATTTGCCGCTAGCGCACGTGAACTTCGTGAATTGGAAGTCCAAATCTTAATTTGGTATCCGGAACTGCCTTTAGGTTCCCATGTATGGTTTCTCATTTTTCATTTGTCACCATATTTACAGTCTGCAAGCTAAGAATATTTATCTTGTCGGCATTTATTACTAATGATACCATGGCCCTCTGTAGGATAGGGTCTGTACTGAATTTACGATTGCTGCTAGAGAAATCTGATTTCTGCTCGTGACCCTAATCCAGTAGAGAGGGCCATGATGATCAATACATAATAGTATCTGGCTATGAAACTATAGAAGATCATCAGGAAAGCATATGGAACCGATGCAAATTTAAAAAAACAAGTGAAAAACATTGCACTATTTGCCACACAATGCTATAAAAGCGCTTTCAGTCCGATATCATGGATTCACAACAATCACTACGACCAAGGGCAACAACATATCAAAATAAGATTATTGATTGCATCATGACCAAGTGTTTCTTAACTGCCACCGTTCTATTGGCACTCACTGGAGCGGTAATCGGTCAGCCAACGAGCGAGATAGCCTCTGATGTTCCGATCGAGGCATCCTCAGACGTCCCGAGCGAAGCAGCCTCAGACGTCCCGGTCGAAACAGCTTCTGAAGTCGCGGACGAGGTAGCCTCAGACAGCCCAGACGAGGCAGCCTCAGAGGCCTCGAGCGAGACGTCCTCAGATGGAACGTGTATCGGATTCGACGTGTGCCCAACGGAGTTTCCACAGCCGTTCTACCCAGGCGAATACCCCAGCACCTACGTACTGGATTCCAACGTGACTTTCCCCGATACGTTTGAATGGGGTGTAGGAACTGCCGCATATCAGATCGAAGGTGCGTACAATCAAGGTGGCCGTGGAGCCTCCATTTGGGACACCTACACAGGAGCTAATACCGTAGGTATGCCTGGATCGGTGTGTAAGGAAGCTCCTTGTGCCGTTAATAGTGCCCAGGGAATCAAGGGAGCGACTGGAAACGTCGCCAACGACCACTACAACAAGTATTTAGATGATGTGGCCACTATGAAAGCATTGGGTGTACCTGAGTACCGTTTCAGTATTGCCTGGCCGCGCGTGATTCCCACTGGAGTTTTGGGAAATGACCGTGAAGGTTTGAATGAAGAGGGGCTGCAGTTCTATCACAATCTCATCGACGCGTTGATCGAGGCAGATATCAAGCCAGTTATCACTCTGTTTCACTGGGATCTTCCTCAGGGATTGCTGGATGCCAATTACTACGAAGATATTCCCATCTGTGACCCTGCGTACAAGCAAGGATGGTACGAATGTGACCTCAAGGAGGACGGCACGCCAGGTGGCAGAGCCATGAACGAGACATTCATTGTCAAGCAATTCGCCGACTATGCTCAACTGATTTTCGAAGAATTCAGCGATAAGGTGAAGACTTTCGCTACATTCAACGAGGCCTGGACTTTCACCTGGCTTGCAAGTGGTAAGGGTAAAGCGCCTGCTGTGCGTCCCTACCAGGATTCTGAGGTGTGGCCGTACATTGCCGGTTACAACGTTATCCGCTCTCACTTGGCAGCTGTAAAATTATTCCGACAGATGCAGAAAAATGATCCCAGTATGGCCGATTCTAGAATCGGTATCACCAACAATTGCGACTGGCGTGAACCGATGACCGACTCACCACAGGATATTGCCGCGAGCGAGCGCACTTTGGAGGCATGGATTGGTTGGTACACAGACCCCATCTATGGCGCGAACGGTGACTACCCCGAGTCCATGAAGAAGATGGTCGGTGACCGTTTGCCAGCCTTTACGGACGAAGAGAAATCTGAGCTGATGGTCAACAAACCAGACTATTTCGGTCTCAACCACTACGGAACATCCTTTGTACGCGATTGCCCCGACTACGTTTGCGACCCACAAGAGACAAATGGTGTGTGGAACACTGTGGATGTTCCCGACTTTGTTAATGCTGACGGTGCAAACTCTGTCCAAATCCTGAACGACAATCTAGCCGCTGGACAGTCTGCCTGGTTGTTTGGTGCTGCATGGGGATTCCGCAAACTGCTGAATTGGGTGAGCAACCGATATGGCACTGAATATCCCATCTACGTGACTGAGAACGGTTGGTCAGTACAGGCCGACACCGAACATCAGGGCAAGTACGACACTGGACGTGTTCTGTTCTACTACAGCTATCTTAACCAGATGAGCAAAGCTATCAGTGAGGACGGCGTGAACGTCGCTGGGTACTACGCGTGGAGTCTTATGGATAATTTCGAGTGGGAGCGTGGATACCATGAGCGATTCGGGGTGATGTATGATGAGTTCAACTTCTGCCACGTGAAGGACATTAATAACCCTAACTGTGACCCCAACTCACCTACACCCGATACACCCGTCTACGATGCTGCCACCGGCGATTCTTCGGCACTTTGTGGCAACACTTGTCTGTTCTCGGAACAGCCTGATCCCTCAACATCTATCAACCAGACCCGCCATCCCAAGAACTCGCTTCTATGGTTGACTGAGGTGTGGAAGTCCCAGACAGTTGTGGACCCTGGAACTTACCTATGGGCAACCAAGGCTTCCGACATCTGCTATGGACCTGATGGCACCACCTACAACGGCAACTCGTGGATGTACGTGTCCGACTGTAACTTCAACCCAATCGAGGAGCGTCTCTAAATAAGCGCTCAAGAAGTGGCCACCGCCATTCAAAAGCAACACAGAGCATGGCCGCCTTCGACAACAAATGTGAGTATCGATCATTTGTTTTTTAGTTAATTTCATAGCTAAATAAATAGAACATATTTAAATAAAAAAATAACCATTATATAAATTTCGATGCGAATGTCAGCTTTCTTGTATTGATACATCATCGCTTTCACTGATATATTGACTGATCCTAAAGGCAAATTTAAAATAACTTGTGGGTAGTAACTACAAAAAATCAACTACACACATGGGAGCATAGCTATTTAAGTTAATACCAGATATATGCATGATCTGCTGGTACTTCCAAGGCCACAACCTTTAGCCCAATTCAGCAGGCCAAATTTATATATATGGGTTTGATACTGTGCCAATTTCCAAAGAGCGGCCACTGCACATGTAGCTACAGCACATGCAGCTACTGAATCAAGAAAAATCTATGCAACTGTGCCTGATATCCGACGGGTATGTGTGTATTACTTCTACGCCGGAAGTACACGCACATGTGTACGTCCCCCATATCCCCCTTTAACCATTGCCGAGTTGCAATGGTGTGAGATGACTATAGACCATTTGAATGCAAATATGCGCATGCCATGTCACCCTGATTATTCCCTCTGTCAATGATGCAGCGGTATGTGACATCTCTAAACCATGTGGATGCACGGGTGTGTTAGGGGTTTAGGGTTTAGAGGTTCAGATATAGACACATGTATGTGCTTGTGACTGGCGATACAACGCTCTCACCTTGCCATTGTATCGAATCACATCCCTAAACCCTAAAACACAGTAGCGCACGAGTTGGCCCACGTGGCTATGCCTTTGCTCTCAACATTTGGCGATGCAGTAGAAATCTGTGGCAAACGTATACCGCGCACTCAGTAGGAACGCCACAGGATGTAACGGTCGAGCATACATCTATACCATTTATACACCACTTCACTCCGAGTGGGAAGAGCATCGGTAGCACAGATATGTAGAGTGTTCTACTAGGTGCTAGTTCAGCCGCCATGCCATTCACTACATCCCTCTGAGGTCACAGGTATGTAGTAAGTACCAGGTGCTAGGTTAGACGCTCTGCCATTCACCACATCCATCTGAGGTCACAGGTATGTAGTAAGTACTAGGTGTTGGGTTAGACACTCTGCCATTCACCACATCCATCTCAGGCGACAGGTATGTAGTAAGTCCTAGGTGCTAGGTTAGACACTCTGCCATTCACCACATCCATCTGAGGTCACAGGTATGTGTGCTCTGTTCATTCACTGATGAAGACTCGCGTGTTGAGTCGGAGGTGCGTATTGTGGTTGATACGGTCTTGCGGCTGTGCTCGATACCTCTGCATATCTCTGTTGATGTCACATATCTGCGTGGATGTCTAATATATGCGTGGATGTCTCATATATGCATGGATGTCTCATATATGCATGGATGTCGCATATCTGCTTGATTACCACATATTTATGTGCTTGTCCTGGCTAAATCGCGTTCGCATCCCTCGGGTAACAGATTTCGCTCTACTGTCCATACACGCGCCTATCATGCCATTTCCTCTGAAATCAATTGGCGTTGTTCTGAACTGTTCCTTATGGTATTAATTATTGCATGGCTGAACTATAAACCTTACAACTAGTGAACGTGGTGGTAAATTCTCGCAACACAACACAACACAACACAACTGATGTGGCTGTGTCTAGAATCCTTATTCACTTTGGACCTATATAGTCTACGTATGGTTAAAAGGCTTGGACCTATATTGTCTACCTATGGTCCAAAGGCTTGGACCTATATAGTCTACCCATGGTTCAAAGGCTTGGACCTATGTAGTCTACCCATGGTATAAAGGCTGGGACCTATATAGTCTAACCATGGTTCAAAGACTTGGACGTATATAGTCTACCCATGGTCCAAAGGCTTGGACATATATAGTTTACCCATGGTCCAAAGGCTTGGACCTATATAGTCTACCCATGGTCCAAAGGCTTGGACTTATATAGTCTACATATGGTCCAAAGGCTTGGACCTATATAGTCTACTCATGGTCCAAAGGCTTGGACCTATATAGTCTACCTATGGTCCAAAGGCTTGGACCTATGTAGTCTACCCATGGTCCAAGGGCTTGGATCTCAATAGTCTACCCATGGTCCAAAGGCTTGGACCTATATAGTCTATTCATGGTCCAAAGGCTTGGACCTATATAGTCTACCTATGGTCCAAAGGCTTGGACCTATGTAGTCTACCCATGGTCCAAGGGCTTGGACCTCTATAGTCTACCCATGGTCCAAAGGCTTGGACTTATATAGTCTATTCGTGGTCCAAAGGCTTGGACCTATATAGTCTAACCATAGTCCAAAGGTTTGGACCTATATAGTCTACCCATGGTCCAAAGGCTTGGACCTATATAGTCTACCCATGGTCCAAAAGCTTGGACCTATATTGTCTACCCATGGTCGCCTGATACTTATACAAAGGCCTCCATAAACCTGACCAGGGTGATCTGATACTCCGAGTCGAGATACGCACGCACATGACCGTACACGTGGGTCCAAAACAGGAGCCGTAGTTGTTTTGACCCTTTCAGCCCCACCTCAGCCGACCGACTGTCTTCGCGCCGTATGCGTGCACGGTCATGTGCATGAGTGCCTTTGAGTTCATTTCGCCGGCGATTAATTGTGTGTCCCATACTCCGTGGGATTACTTCACCTTCTCTAACGCCCTTGTTATCGTTGCCATGGTAACCAATGCGTTGTACATCTCCATCTCTCTTTCTATCCACCCGCAAGTTTTCAATACCTATCGATGCACGCGCCCTTTGCGCGCGCTGCCACTTATCCGCACCCCGTCCACGTACCTCTACACCACCGCGCTCGATACCATGAGAACCATCGAGATCTACACCTCTTCTCCTGTTCACCCGCGCACCCTCCACATCCACTAACGCACGCTGCAGTTGCGCGCGAGTCATCGACAGCACCCTTTTTCCTCGATCTATAGCGCGACTGCGGGCGTCCACATCCATCACCGGCCCATCTCGCTCTACCAGACGTCTCTGCTGCGCACTTGTACTTAGATGCCCAGCCCTCTCCTGGCTTCGTGTCCAGGGTATATGGCTGTCGTTGTGGTGTGTGGGTCCATCTATAGGCGGCGTGTTGTTTGTGTGTGGGTGTCTGGAGTGGTACAGTGAGTCGTAGTTGGATACTCCTTCGGTGTAGGGGACGATAGCGTCGGTGGTGCCGTGGACCAAGAGCGCGGGAATACTCAGGATACCTCTGAGAGGGCAAGGACAAATAAAGTCAAACAATCTACGAAGAAAATATAGCACGTCTGATAAACCCTAAACTCTAGAAATGTGGCTATAGATATTCTGATATGCATATGCACGAGTGTTTTATGACTCGTCTTTGTCTGAATAACTGCAGTGAGTGGCTGGAGAACACCGGGCTGGACAACACCGTTCAGGTTAATGGATAAGGAAAATAAGTATGTAGCTGCGTAGGACAAGAATTATACTATAACTTCGAACCTACTACTATTTAGAACAAACTATGTAATGATGGTAGATACAGTTCTAATACACACACACATATGTATATACGTATATCTCACAAAGCGCAAACATACTTGGCCAAATGGCTGGCGATCTCCAGCTCATCCAGTGAGAAAGGCGACACGGCCTGCATCCACCAAACCAACTGATTTTCCATGAAGCGCGGCAGATATGCAATCTTATTATTAATCCACGCAGGTATAGCCTATAGACAAACGTCGGAGTCGAGTAGCATT